ATAGTGAAAAACTTGTTAGTAAAGATTATAATGAAGGGGACTTCATTGATAATTTCTTTTATATAGATCAGTTGCAATTTTGAGAGATATTATTGAAATTAATGGATAAATAAGAGTTTTTAATTAATTTAAGAAATTAAAATAATAAAATTAAATTAATCAATTCTAAGTAAAACAATAGTTATGAGAAGACATTGATTTGGGACTACTAATGAAAAGGGGTCACATGAATATTCTTATTTTGAGTTTTTCTTTTTGGATTTATATTTGATGCACTTGTAGTGTATATCTTCTTATACATTGTCAGGCTACCAAAATGTACCACCTCATTAATGAGGTAAAATTAAAATCCATTAGGAACTTAAAACTAAATATTAATAAATTAAAATTTTTTTTCTCTCTCCAAGTTCCTCTGAACTGTTGTTTTCTTTTTTTTTTTATCTCTCTCCAATTCCATAATCATATTCTTCTCCTTTTCTTCTTCTATTAGGATTAAATTTGATAAATTATGCAATTTCAAGAGCAATGATAATTAAAAGTTTTTACTTTCTCTTTGAACTCTTTTTGATGAGTTTTTTCTCTTTGCAATATTATTATCTTTACTGGTTCCTAGATCTAGATCTAGGGCATTGTAGAAACAGTATAACATACCTAACTTATATCTATTACCGTAAGAACTAATTAAAATGCAAATCTTGCAAGTCTCATGTTTTAAGGAATCAAGATTGTTAAATCAATTCATGAGTTTTTTCATTATAAAACATATAAAAAAGTAATACCTCATTATAATTATATGAAAATAGCTAATTGAATCGATAACAAGAATATGGACGGAAGACTCTCAATCTTAAATCTCATACTCTAAATTGAAAATTTCATTGTCAATTTCAAATCTTAATCAATCACATATAAAGTAAAACTGAACTTGAATAAATTTTCGATTATTTAAAGAGAACAAGAGAAAGGTTAGTGGGAAGGCTGGATTAGAGATTAGAGAGAAAATTACTTTTCCCCTTTACACTTTGATCCTGAAAGAAAAAAACAACCTTAAATCGAAAAGAAGAAAAATAAGATTCTAAAGATTTTTGAGAGAGACGTGCAAGATTCGTAAAAATTTTTTACATCATAAAGGTTAGAGAGAAACGTGCAAGAGATATTAGAGAGAGTAAAATTTTTTTTAATTTTTTAACTCATTAAATGTTAAAAAGTTTTTAATATTTAGTTTTAGGTCCCTAATGAATTCTGGTTTTGTCTCATTAATGAAGTGTCACATTTTGGTGACTTGACAGTGTATATATATTGGTAGTGCATCAAATATAAACAATTTATATATTTATTTATTTATTTATCTTGTTAGAATATAAATTAAGTCAAGTGGACCAACATATATTAGTAGATCAACCTAGATATTATTAACTCCTAATTAGAGTTAACTTTAGGATCTTACTTCTAATAGGATTTATAAATGTGAAACACTTTCTATAATTTTTTTGCGGTAGATCTTTGATTTTTATTAAATTAAAAATTAAAATTTCGTATCTTAAAAAAACAACATTTTTTATATATCTAAAATGATCAATGTTGATTAGACTATGTCACTACATTTATCTAATAAACTTAGAATGAGGAGGCATAGTTTGGAGTATTGAGTCTTAGAAGTCAAGAATCATTTGGAGAGATTTATTGTTTTAAATATTGTGTCTACTATCTTAGTAATGTGAGTTTATATTCCTATATTGTTTTATGTTTTATTTTTTTAATTAATTTTAATTTTTTTATTTTTGATTTATTAAGGTATTTTGTGGTACTAGCTAGCCTTTCTCCATAGATGTCTAGTAAAAACCATTTCAATACTTGGATTGCCATTTTCATGCTTCTAAGGTAATGCGAGTTGTTAATGGCATAAATTAATAGTAACAGAGTAACAGAAAGCAAAGAGTATATAATCATTTGTTCTTGGATGCCTTCTAAGATATTTGCAACCTTACAATTCACAAGTCATTTAACATTTTTTGAAAGCTCTACAAATACTATCAAGGTGTCGTAACGTGCGGGTGTAGGAACCAAACTGCTAGACGTGAAAAATGTTGAAAGTCGTCACCAATTTTTTTATCTAAGTACAATTGGTCAATTATTAAATTTGTTCTATTCAAGAAGATCCTAAATTGATCTTAAGTTCATTTAAAGAACAACAAGCTAATTTGTGATTTTTTTGAGAGTTGGGTTTGGGAATATGGTTATGTATGGGGAAGGATTAACCCCCTCATTATACCTGTTCCATGAACGATACCATTTAATCATATGTTTCTTATTTCAACCTTAACTTTTGGATTTATTCCTATGTTTTGTTAATCAATATTCATTATTCCGTTCTTGATTTGTTGTGTCTTGTTTTTTCCTAATCTTTCTTTTTAATTTATTATTTATTATTTGTTTTGTTTTTCTATTTTTTAAATCAAAATTTGATTATTCGGCTTTATGGATGTATATTATGCAATTACGGAATGATGTCATATTTACCAATTTTAAATAATAAGAAACCAAAACCATGAATTGAAAAAATTATTCGTAAACTATCTCAATGCTTTAGTGAAGTTTCGAAGCTTTCTTTAACTAGGGATATCCTCGAAAGAATTTATCTTTACAAATTGTTCAAGGAAATCCCATCATCGGGGCTCTCAACCCATTAACAAAATAATCGTGTCGTATACCATATCGTAATACTATATACTATAATACCATATTGTATTACATTTGAAATCTAATTGAGTTGTTTTGAGAGAGTCAAAAATCCAGTCAAAGACTGAGAAAAAGGAAATCATTGTAAGTCTTAAGAGTAAGATTTGAATTTTTGAAGAGAGAGAATAGTTTAGGTTTTGAATTTTTAATAAAATATTAAATTATAGAAGAACATTTTTGACCTTTTCATGTAGAATTTAAATATTAATATATAAATTATTTAAATTTTTTTAAAAGAATAGTTATATATTATTAATATATATAAATTTGCTAATAAAATCTATCTTATGATCTCACTTTCTAAAAAATTGTAAAAAAATTAATAGATTCATAATATTATTAAATATATAAAACTTTTAAAAAATAATATAATAACTAAAATATTTTTTTTAATTGAGGACACTAGTCTCATGAACATGGGTCCGCCCATGGTTACAAGTGATCCAGTATCCAAGCCAAAAGGGGAAAACTAAAATCATACAATTTTACACGAAAAATTCCAAGAATCAAGAAAGAAAAGGAAAAATTGTTACCGTAAGGGCAAAATTAAAGGTGAAAAAAAAAAGATAAAATCTAAGGAGATTGCTTCCATGGCTAATTGTCACGAGGAAAGTGTCTCTATCTCACGTCGGATAGGAACGGGAGGTCCTGAGCTCTTTATAAGCGGATGTGCTGCACACCCCCATAAGCACGTTTATGGGGAAGAGAGTAATGACCTCGTGACAAGTGGTATTAGAGCAGACTGGACCTCATCTGACTCATGTCAAAGCGAAGCGTCTGGGCCCAGGGGGACCCAAGGTAGGCAGGGTGGCCGACGGCAACGAGGACGTTGTCGGAATCGGGTGAGAGAGAATGTCACGAGGAAAGTGTCTCTATCCAATATCGGACAGGAACGGGAGGTCTTGGGCTCTTTATAAGCAGGTGTGCTGCACACTCTCATAAACGCGTTTATAGGGGAGAGAGTAATGACCCCGTGACATAATGACCAATTGCTTTGTCATAGGTTTGCTTGTCAAATATAGCAATATATAGTTTGGTATGTTTTCACTTGTTACTACCTCCTGTTGGTCATTCCTATCTTCTGCTTGTTCTCTCTCAAAGGATAATGCAGTTGGATACTATCTTTATATTATTGCCTGGACTTTTTATTTCTGGCTTATGGCCATTTATGCTATGACCTTAGGTCAAGAACCTAAGACAGTTATGAATTGTATTACATCCTTAGCATCAAAACTATCCTCGGAGTTGCCTTTCCTTGAAAACTAAACCAACAGATGGCCCCTAGAATGGAAACCTCGGCCTGGTTCAATACTTGGGGTAGAAACTTTGCTTATATATGCCACCTTTCTCAAAACTTGTCTTTTAATCGATGCAGGAATGCTCAGCAAGCCGTCATGCTGTTGCAGCATTAACAGGTCCTCAAGCTCTCCTTGTAGACATGCACAGCCACCCCATCCACTGCATAGCATCAGGTGGTCAGTCCCTAATTTGAAGAAGTTCTTTTTTGCAGAACTGGCGCAGAGTCATCATCGATTTATCTTGTTGACTATATAATCAACACAGGATATCGGCGAGAGCCCGACATGTCCTCGGCATACTCAACTCTTTTCCAACAGCCTTGGTATAGCGCAAAATGCATTCTTCATTTAACGGCTCAATGAGGAGATGGTCTCGTTAAAATTAAAGAGAGAACTGTTAACAGAGCGAATTGGTAAACCCTTTTTTGGTGGGTGTAGATGCATGCGTGCATGTTATTAAGATGTATTGTCTTTCTTGATTTCCATCATAGTTTATTGTGTTATCTTTCCTCATCACAAAAGTTTGCAACTAACTTTCTTTCACAGGTTAACAAGATCACCCTTTTTTTCTCCTTTCTTTTTGTTTTCTTGAATCATGGCTGGCATTTAGGCCTCCTCCAATCCAAACAACTATAAAGAATATAGCACAATATCAAAAGCATAGATGATGGCACTACATCATTTCAAACCTTCTCCTCACAAGAAACATATATATATATATATATATATATATAGAGAGAGAGAGAGAGAGAGAGAGATTGTTAATTGAAAATCAGAGACTCATCCACGATTCCAAGATATTCCGACGATTAATTTTGATCCAGATGAATAGCGAAATCTGTGGAACAGAAAGATAAATAATTTGATGACAGATAAGTTACTGATTAATTCTTCATGTGCGGAATGGAAATGGCAATGCGCCAAATAGAAAACATCATATTACTAAACTGGAGATAGCATCACTTAAAAAAAACCATTTGCATATGATCCATTTGTTCTGTTTCTTACTACAACTTACAAAAATCCTTTCAGATTAGTAACCATTTAAACATCATAAACATTTAGCTTGCCTTTACATATCAAAACTCTTAAAACTGATTGCCATCTTCACAGCATCAAGTTGTCAACCAACTACGCTGCCACAGATCTCTCTAAGGTCTTCTTGATATGATTTGCATTCATGATCCTCTTTCACTCTCTTAGTTACTGACTGCAATTTTGATCACAAGCACGCAATGTTTGTTTACATGGAAAAAACACTATGGCATCTGCTCAACCCTAGATACAACTAGAGCAACAAACCATAAATTAATGCCGAACAAATATCATTTACTACAAAAACTATGCCTACCAATGTCAACACATGTAAAGAGTACTGATATGAGAGCGAGAGAGAGAGAGAGGAGAAAACATTGCACAGCCTTTAAAAATCTATTTTAGCTAACCTTTAGCCATTACCACACAAAGTCATAAAATAATTACCATAGTCTACTGACTCACCACCGTTCCTAAACATGCAACCGCAAGTAAAAATTATCTGCTTCCTCTTCATGAGATTAACCAAGGCCTTCTTGAACCTATTAGCTAGTACCTTAGCTTAAATAGTTTTACACATTTGTAAATGTTACCAACTAAACAAGGCCTAAAATCCTTGATATTCTAAACACCATCATTTTAGGTCTAAAAATCATTTTAAAAAAGAAAATAACTTGACACAAATGAATTCATGCCATTGATCTAGGATTTCTTCCTCTTCTTTTGTTCTTCTTCTTCTTCTTCCTTGGGAAAAAATTCCTTCCCTCTCCATTTTGTTAGTAAAATTTAAAGAAAGTAATACTTTTCACTCAGTTTAAGAAACAGAATTAAACAAATAAGTTAATAAAACAGATACATATTTATAAGACATGCAAAATTTCAAGAAGAATATTCATATATATGGAACCTTCTGCACATAAAAAATTTATAAATATAAAAGTCATCATAACTATAAGATTTTTAACCCTGCCTATTCTTCATACCACTCACATTTACCCCTTCGATCAACCTTTCTGCCAAACAAGAAATTCGCCTTCAAATCAATGAATTAAACTGGGTTTTTCAGTTGTCCTAAATTCTCTGCTATACCAACTTTAATAGAACATACTTAGTTGAATTAACTGAGAAAAACTTACCGCTTTAAACATGAATAACCATGCATCACAGAAATGTCCCTTCAACTCAGTTGACCACCAATCACTCCAATAAGACTTATACTCAGCTGTCAAAGAAAATGCACAAAAATATAGTAAGACTAAGTTACAAGTACAACTAATGCAACAGTAGCAAAACCAAATAAAAAAAAAAACCTTGCCCTTGCATTGCCAACAAAATATTTATTTACTTTATTGCATTGATCATTTATAATTAAAAGTGAACATGTAAAATGGAGGATATTTCCCAAACCAAACAGGCCCTAACAATTCTATTTCTGAACTTATTGCTTCTTTTTCTTCTTTTCCTATTTCAGCTTCTTCTTTTGAAACAAGTATTAATAGGGGGCTATAGAATGATAGCAGTTTAAAGATTCTAGATATAAGCAACAATAACAATTCCATTTCTAAACATACTTGATACTGAACATTAACAAAAGCATGATTTCCCACCCAGAGGCCTCCGCCAAAATACCTTGTCTGAATTCATAAAAATGTCTATTGACTATCTTTCTTACAGTTCCAAGAAAGAAAAGAGAAAAACCTCAGAGATTTCCCTTTGTGAGCAAAAACACCATATATTACAAGGAATCAATTCTCTGCTTGAATGACAAGGACAAGCTGAAGCAGAAGATGTGTGAATCCCTCTTGCATAATTATGCTAAGCATTGTTACAATCTTGGTGAAAGAAAGACAGTGAAAATTGAATTGAAAGTACTTGCTCAATAAAAGGGCAGGCTGTATTGCTTAAAGATAGATAAGCTTTACTCTTCATATAGCAACAAAGAAAATTCTTATAACCTAAACCGTAAGAAAGAATATGACTAAAGACATATATATCATGCGCACTACTCATCCATAAAAATTGAAGACAGTATTTACTTAAGAAAACTAAATAAATCATATACATTTTTCACATGCGACACACGCTTAACTTCACTTGCATGCATAATTTAAATTAGAAAACAAAAAGCAATTCCCTGTGACCTTAATTATCATATGCATGTTAAACCACATAAAACTACGAAACATAAAAAATACCCATTATCAATCAAATGCCATTCCACAAGACTTTTCAAGCTCTCTCTGATAAGTTTGGCATGAAGGAGCATCTTTCCCTTCATCCTTCCTATGGTGGATCGCACACTGCATTTATACCAAGAAAACGAGATCTTTACTTTGAAAAACCTAACCGCTAAAACGTGACAATAGTGGTGGCAACTTTACTCCCAAAAGGAGTTACAACTTGAAAATGTTATCTTTGCCTTATTCTTGTTAATATCTGAAAGTTACAAAGGTATTTTTATTTTCTACCAACTGATAGTACAATTCATTAAACAAATTAAAGAATGAACAAAACAAAATAGTAGTTGACTGGATTTTAACATTCACAGGCATGGAAGACTTGCATATACACACCCACAAAGAAAGAAAAGTACAAACCTCATGTGCAAGCAGACACAAACAGAGATTAAAAATCAACTATAATCAAATATACTTTCTGTTCAATTGACAAATACAAATAAACAGCAAAAGCAAAAAGGGAAAAAAGACATAAACATTAAAACCACCCAACAGTTCAAAGGCCTAGACCAATTTTACAAGGATGGAAAGCTACTTATATGAGAAGTTGTCACTTATTGCACAAGCAATACGAAATTTGCAATACCAGAAACCAGACATATTCATCCAACAGTTTGTTATAAACAATCCTAATAATCTTCCAACCGTTTTAAGCAATGGATTCAAATCCCATATTTAGAGTCAGGAAAGTTAAATGCTAGCAAATCTAAGGTGATTCAACTCAAAAGCATGGCCAATTAAGTTTCCAGGATGATCAAATTCCTGCTAATCCTCAAAGCACAATACATAAACATCTTATTCCAATAATGCATCATGACTCCTTCAGCAATTGCTGAAACTTTGAAAACATAGAAGATGATAAGGCAATGCATGATAGACAAATATTTAACTATAACACTATAATATATGTGAGCCTAAATTTCTAAAACACAACGTTTCTTGAGAACCATATATCTGGTAAGCTTCCACCTAAAGGACATCTTGTTATAAAATAAATCCAAAGTAATAAGCATTTCTAACCATATGAATGAATGAAGGAAACTTCTCTACTCAGCTAAGTTCCATCCTATACTATCTTAAGTTTAGGACCAATCAATGTGCATCCGAACATTTAGCTCATTGGTTGGTATATGATCCCCTGCCTAGAGAGCAAGGTTCGAATCCCCTTCTCCCAATTTGAAAAAAAAGAAAATACCAATCAACGTGAACTGCAAGTTATTTTTCTTTCCTTCTTTCCATAAAACAATCAAGCCAAACCATGCACTTAGTTTTAGGTTTAGACAATTTACTGATTAACTAACAACTTTCACAACTTCCTGGTGAGTAACAGCATATCGGAGACACACTCTGGCTGCAGAAAACTTTACCGATTCAAACTTCTGTACAATCCCTTTAAAGTGTTGAACTTGATGAGCGTCATCCCCTATCCACCCACCAGACCATCAACTATTCAAAGACAAAAATCCTTTCCTAGCAGCAGCATCATATACAGTGCGATCACCTATTCAAGGAAATGCATAAAATATAAGGAAACTACATTGCATGCTGCCTTTCTTTGGAAAATGCATAATATTGTGCTTCCACCCCCCAGTTTAGGAGTTACATTCTTACAAGTTATTTAGAGTTCATCAAAGACTAAAACCAGAAAGAAGTCTGCTATATGCTAATTACAACTTAGTGCTCCTTACTTTCTACGGAAAAATGAAAATCTAACAGGAACAGAAGGCTATTAAATACTAGCATTTTATTCATACAAGAGAAATAGAAGAACCCAAAAATTCTAAACGTGTTAGAGAAGTTGAAAATTCTGGCACATCACTTGAGCAAAACATCATCATAGACTCTGTAGGTTTCCACTATTTATAGTTCCAACAACAGCAAGACATAAAGTCACAAGGTCCTTTGCGATAGTTTCCACCCTTCTTCTCTGTTCCCATCCTTTATCACAAATTTATTTTTTCTCATTATTTTACATCTTCCTATGATATTAGTATAATGAAGAAGCAAAAATTTCAGAAAAGCTCTGTTTGTGAGTGAGAATAGCATAATTCACAAGGATTTCACTTACGCCCTGAATCAGAAGAACCAGACCCTCCTGCATAGTAAACACCATCAAAAAAGAAAAAGAAGGAAGGTAGGCTGAATAGTGTAAAATCAATATGACTCCATTACATATTATATCCGATACACCAGATAATTCTTAAACTATGTAAATGGGCTCCACAGCAAAAAAGAAGGCTGCCTAAATAAAAAAGCTTTTTTTTTTCTTTCCATTGTGAGGTGGGGGCAGAAAGAAGAGGAAGCCATACCAAAGGCTGCTTCTTTTTACGTTTTCAGGGTAGGGGAGGATAAAACAGCCAGGAGAAAAAGCCTTCAACCGGATTTTGAAGATGGTTTTCAATGAAAATCCTCCGTGTTCATGAATTGGTTGGTGAGAATCTTCCAATATCGGGATTCATTTTTATTCTCTCGCCTACGAACAGAAACGTCAATAGCCTTCTTCCAGAACTCAATTGACTGTCCAATTATTTCAATTGAAAACCCAAAACGTCGAATTAAATTATTAGAATTGAGTACTCTGTGGATGTTAAGTCGCCAAACGAACTATTGGGAAAGTACATGCATGAAAACAACGGATAAAAGAAAGGGCTTCCTAACCTCCGCCTCTGCGACCCATGCTTTTCCTGAATGCAGAATCTTGGACACAGATGCTTTGCTAAACAAACTACAAGTTGGGCTAGGTTCCAAATGAAAGTAGGGATATTTTTTATTTGATTTTTATTATACTAAAAATGAAAATTTCACGTCTCTCGACAGCTTTTTGTTCTTCAATGCGTGCTTAGGACCTGATTGGTGATTAGCTAGTTCGTTTGAAGAAAAGCTGCTAATTGAGTAGGCCCAAACACTGTGCTAATCCATTTATGGCAGCCCGATCCCGGTCTTGGGTTTAGAGTAAACAGAAATTTTATACATGTTTTAGTACGAAATGAAGAAACTTCAATGAAGAATTGTGGTTGTGCAAAGGAAGGAAGGAAGGAAGGAAGGAAGGGGCAAATTTTGCACTCTACTACATTAGAAAGTGGAAAGGTTACCATACCAGCTGGTGGGTGCACCATGCTAGAGAAAATTGCCATTTGTTGCTATTAAAGGGAAAGCATGTCTCTTTTCATCTATTGCACAGCATTGTAAAAATGTACATCATGACACATTTATACCATTTCTATATGACCAAAATTAAACATGGTTATCCCATTTAAAACAAAACAAAACAAAAAATTAAAAAGGTTTATACATGGTATATCATCCCCACCTCCAAAGTAGAAGCATGAGGAACGCTTAGTGCATAGGTGGGCGGACGGCTGTTTCTTCTCAAGAACTCATACCCCAAGTTAATTACAAGTTTCTTTATTAGGCTAGATCCTTGCTTCGCTCTAACGTATGAGTGCCCTAGTATGTAAGCTATCCCCGCTTCCCTAGCTTCCATAAGTTCCTGCAGCTCTTCCCTGGCACCAGAGTCTATCTGTGGGCTCTCCGGTACAATAAATCTTACTCTTTTTCTCGCCTTAAGCGCAGGTGGTGACCGTATCTCCTTCAACTCTGATGGTCCAGCCGCCTCTCTGTTGTCTGCATCATCCTCACTCATTTGAATCCCTTCTGTATGGCTAGAACATGTTCCAACCACCGTCATTTTATCATCATCCTTCACCACATCTTCATTAACACTGCCAGGTGCAATGCTTCCTGAGCGTATAAACTCTGCTATGCTGCAAACAAGATCTTTCTCAAACTCCATGTCATCTTTGTGAACATCACGATACCCGTATCGTACAATGCACCTATAGAGCCTGAACTCCCTAGGGCCAATATGACCCACCAGAAACCGCTCTTCAGGTCTAACATGAGGAACTGGGACAGATTTGATGCAAAGAAAGACTAGGACCTGGTGGAAGGCTGGAAGATTAGTGACAAAGCGGGAGAAGATTGCAGGGATTCCAGATACAAGCTCTGTGTGTACAAGTCCAATCCCACGAACCCGTACTATGCCTAGACTAGGACCCAAGCTAAGTAACCAGTTGATGGAGACCTTGTTTTGAACATCAAACTCATACTTTTTCAGTGTGCCATAGTGCCAAACACACATGATTATCAGGAAGATGAATGCAAGAGCAATTGGAACCCAGGCCCCTTCAAGGAACTTGATGAGGGAAGCAGTGAAGTAGAGTGCTTCAATTGTACCAAAAAAGAAAACAAAGCCTATTGCGAAGAACACGCTCTTTTGCCAGCATAACACAATTACCAATGACATTAGGCAAGTTGTAACCAGCATAACAGTTATAACAGCCAAACCTGTTCCACAAGAAAAAAAAAAAGAGTCAAAACAACTAGTAGAAACTCAGACAAAAAGAGGACCCAAGTTCTGTTTCATATTGAGATTCAGATTATCTTTTCAAGGAAAGAAAGATATGAGTTATGAGCCATGGTTTCTTGACGTAAAATAATAAGTGCTGAAACAAGCGACTGACTCTGTACTCTTATATGCCTCAAACACCAATTATTTTGAGCCAAAATTTCAGGCAAATTTTAATTATCTCTATTAGGTAGAAGTGAATCAGTTTTCTTTTTCTCTTTCAGTTTCTTATCTAGGCAATGCTATGATGCCAAATCCAAAGATACAGCTGCACATGGAGAAAATCCTGTCTACATAACACAAGTATATATGCACATAACTATTATAATTTCTTAGCACTTTTGGGGTTAGTGGAGTTTGGATGGTGATTAGGCTTTTAACCCTGGCAGTCTGAAAAATAGATAACTACTTATCAGAGAACCATTTACAGCTCCAGCATATGTTTCTTAGATAAATAAAAACGTTTAGTAGTGCCAAGCAAAGAACAGGTGTGAGAAGTTTCCTGAACTGGATCATTCACAAGCCAAAACACAATTTTGTATACAGAAGGAAATAATTAATCTGTTCCTTTTTAATGGAAAATACAATTAATCTATTGGGAATGAAGCTAATATATCAGAACCCTTGATCCCTCATAGTGATCAAATCTCTCTTTCATCTAAACCAAGATCAATACTTAGAAAAAACAAGCTCCTACAAAATGCAATCTACAACTTGATAGTCATACTATAACAATACCATATGTTTTGTCAGTTTTCACGTATAAAAGCCCGGTTCAGGCTAGAGTATGAAACTAAGATGCAAGATGCTCCCAAGACCCAAATTATACAGCCAATTGAACACATTTCTGCTAAGAGTTGTAAGAACAATACAAGTTAATATGGGAGCATTATCATACCCGATGCATTGCCCATGCGCTTTGTGTCTCTAAAGCCAACAGTAACTGCCAAGCATAATATCATGAGGAGCCAGTTAATCTCTGGAATGTAGATCTGACCATGGATTTTGGATGATGTGTGGACTATTTTGACTCTTGGGAAGCAAGCAAGAGCAGAACACTGTTTGATGATTGAGAACGTTCCAGTTATGATAGCTTGGCTTCCCACTACTGCAGCAAGTATGGCTATAACCAGAACAGGCCATCTTAACTTCTCTGAAGAATAACATTTGGATACTTCCAGTTAGCTGAAAACTCACCTATTATCCAAATCTTAGAGTCTTCAAGGAGTACAACTCAAGGTACCTACCTGGTACAGATACATAAAATCCAATTCGGTAATCACTTTCGATAATATGATGCCGAGATAGATAGGCAGCTTGCCCCATGTATGCAAGAACCAAGGATGGATAAACCAAAGAGGTAAAAGCAATCTGCAGAAATGGGAATTCCCATCAGATAAAAGCTGTTATTCACAGCAAAATTCAATGCTGAAAACAAGAGGGCGTGCATGAAACTGTCAAAAGAAGTTCTCTTGTGTGACAGTAAATGTTTCCCAAGTCCAAAATTTTACCAAAAAGCACTCAATTACTAAGAATATAGTAATTTGCACTTAAGAGTGGTCAGTTGCAAGCTAGCAAATGCATGCACGTGTTTCCTAGAAGATATATGGTTTTCTCTTGAATGGTCAAAACCACACCACAAAGTAAAAGGAATAAAGATGGCTCTGTCAACTGAAATCATAATTCGGCAGTTCAAACAACTTGTAACTACAAATTTGTTCAAAATTCCATCAGACATAATTGTCAGCTCTTCTCACCAACACAACTCCAACCATACCGACTTAGTTTAAAAAATAAATTCTAAACTGTCAATTAACCTTTCAAAAATATATACCTTTATTGACGATTGTGAAAAATGTCCAAGATCAGCAAACATAGCTTCTGAGCCTGAAAATTGAAAATGTAAATCAACTTAACAATCAACCTCTTTATTTTAAATGGCAGAAGAAAGACAATTATATCATCTGATATGCTCGCAGTCAAACACGCTTACCAGTTATACACAATAAAATACCGCCCAGGGACATCCAACCTCCTCTCTGTGTTTTCCTCAAAAATTTGTACATGTAATATGGAGAGAGTGCTTGATACACATGAGGATTCCAGTGAATGATATTATATAACCCAATGGCACTGATGCAAAGAAGCCATATTAGAACCACAGGTGCAAACAAAAACCCAACCCTGTGTGTGCCATAATGTTGAAGGGCGAACAAGCCTATCAGTATGATGCATGCAACTGGAACCTCTACATCTGCAAAAATTGTTGAACCTTTTATAAGAGGCAGTATAATGCTAGATGAATGACATATCAAAAGAAGAAGATGGCATAATGACTCATGGCATCAAATAAAGAATAACTCAAATGGAAGTCAAGCACTTAAGAGTAAAATAAAGTTAGTAATCATGGTCAAAACTTCTCCTAAGGCCAACTTCCCAAAACATTTCAATGTGGCCTTAAGTTTTTATGCTAAGATTGAAAAGAGTGATGGTCACTCGTTTACCAATAGAAGCATCAACACTGACAACTTCAAAGATAACATATTTTAGTTTGAAATTATAACTTTATCTCACTTAACACATGAGACCAAAGCTGCAGCAGCATTATGAGTCATGCTAATGGTCATAGGAGTATAGTAATAGCTTATCTGAAGTGCAATTAATATACTATGGCCAAGAAAAGTCTACAATTAATAAACATTAGTTCCAGCAACTAAAACCACACTGCAAATAGCATGAGTTCATCTTTTAGTATCAAACCTGAAACCAGGGTCACAGCATCAAATGAGTTCAAATTGTACAAGCTTCATACAAGTTGGCTTATTTGAAAACTTGAATCATTAAGTAAGTCGTTTCTTTATGGAACCGTAACTTATGAAGTAACAACAGTTTAAGGAACCGGATGCCTTGCAACTCCTAACAACTGAATATTGACAGGTAAAACATGCTTAGACATCCAGTATTCCAAGAAGGGCCAGTAGTTTGATCTAAACTGAAAGTTTCATCTGAAAGCAGTGTAGGCAAGTGGAAATATCACTACAGAAATTCAATCTACTAGATTGAGCAGACTATGCAACCTTACGTGCCCCAGTTTAGCATGTTGATTGATTAGTCTAACCAACTTGAGGTGACAAGTAAAACCATGGGTTCCACAACACAGTACTTAGTTTTGGGGTACGGCTTATGATGGACCAAGATTGGGAACTACAGATAATTGAGTTTGTCGATATAATGTACCATATCATTAGGTTGTTGAAGAATCCAAGGCCAACAGAGAAATAATGCAAACTTGGAAAAGCCTAGACAACCATCCTAAAATTGGAGAAATACTGAAGTAATCAAAAGGAACAATAATTTCACTTTATGATGAAATCCAGGAACTTACTTAACAGGGATTTGCATCATAGACTATTTATCTAAAAAAAGTACTGGAAAACTTTGCCCAAGAGCGCTAAACTACCGGAGCAAGGGTTTTACAATTTAACAATGATTTGTCTTTTCTGGTTGTCATCGAGAAGAAATTTAGGAGCTAAAGTTAAGTACAGCCAAACTAGGAGTGTAAGGGGGAAGGATCTTACATTTGTGATGCTCT